TGTAACATCATCACAAAGCTATTCGGGTCACAAATAACATTCTATAGTACTAAGATATTTTCATTAATCGATGACTGAATAGTAAACGATGTTATTGAGATGGTGGAGAAGATTTCTAGCTCAGGTGGATGAATTTTGATGGAGTTTTGTTCTCTGAGTTGGATGGTTTGGTCATGGAGCTTTTATCGTTCTTCTGAACGACATCATCAGCACAAACTTCAGACAGAAGTGAAGTGTTCAAATTTCTCCATGTGCGTTTCACAGCTTGTTCTGTACACCTCAACGTTGATTGGTTCTTATTGAACCAATCTGAAGTTTGTGCTGATGATGTCGTTCAGAAGAACGATAAAAGCTCCACGACCAAACCATCCAACTCAGAGAACAAAACTCCATCAAAAACAATGTTATACTTGTCAATGATCGTAATTCTGTCAGTCAAGTTACAAAGTAACTATTAATTTTTTTAAAAATAATACTATAAGATGCTTTTAATTCAAATATGAATTAAATCAAAGTGAATTATCAACCTTGTATGGTTTTGTAGAAGTCTACTTACTTACTCCTGTTACTTCCAATGGAACATAGGTCTCCAACCAGCATTCTCCAACCCATTCTATTCTAGCCCTTCTCCTTTATCCGGGCTTGGGACTGAGAGTAGCCCCAGATGGGCTTCAGGAGGAGTTGGTTTTGTAGAAACATTTATCAATTTCACATGTTACAAAGTGTAGAAACAAAGATGGACCAAACCATCCAACTCAGAGAACAAAACTCCATCAAAATCATCCACTTGAGCTACAAATCTCCTTCACCATCTCGGGATCAAAGATGTCCGAATAATCAAACAATTATGGATAGTAAAACTTTAATCACAAAGAATGAGTCAAATGAAAAACAAAACAGCAAGTTTGAAATGATACTGAAATTCAAGTATGAAAATTAACAGTTTTTCTTAAATGTTTATCCATAGACACTAACTGCTGTAGTGAATGAGAACGCAAATGGGTACAACCGAATGTATTTAAACACTTGCCCCTAAATTCCCTGGTACGGCCGAGGGTGGGAAGAGTGCAGTCTCCTTCACTAAATGCTCTCACATGACCACGTGCATACAGCCACTGCCAGGAAAGTCCTACTTACTGCCTTCTCGTGCCACGGGTGTTGTTTACGAAATTGAGAGAACGGAAAGAGAATGTGTGGCGCTTTAACCGAGTTGGTGGATATGGAGGATCCACCTAGGGGACATTAATTGCTGCTCAGAGATTAGTCAAAATAGACACTTCAATTCTGCAGGAGGTAAGTTACTGTTCAAATAGCTCTATGATGGTGTGTGAGATTACGAAAACTAGTCTCTTCAAAATTCCGCGTACTCCTGACGGAAGAATGCTGAATAAAATGAAGCTTATGTCAAGTGGGATTCCTCGTCGACTAACTCCAACGATATAACATTAACCTGACAGTAAACACATCTGATGATATTATGTTACACTTAAAAATAAATTGTGAACTGTTACGTCATAAAGTTTAAATAAGACTGTATTTTAAACGTAATTCTTTCATTCGATCCTAATTAAATTCATTCATGTATAATTTCGAAGGAATTCATACTAGTACAAAATACCTCTCTAATACTCTGTGATGCAGGTACACTCAGCTGACGAGTCCCGAAAAGGACGAAACGTACCTCCTATATTCCACTACTAGCCACCATTTATTTCCTTTCCTGGCTCTCAATTACATAAAATCAGTTTTCTGTATTAAAAACATTAAACATTTCTGTCAAATTTATTCATTCTGAAATGAAATGTCACTTAATTAAAACAACACAACTTATTTATTAGAGGATGATGTATGTGTCCTCGGTAAAGTGTAATTGTTTATAATCATTTATTAATGTGGAAAATATCTCAGTTCTCCATTCATCGTCAACGGTTTGTGATCCTCACACACACACACGAGCACACACTCTGAATATCTGTGTATATGCATGTGCATGTGTATGTGTATGTGTGATCCATTGAACACATGTATACAAGATCCTCACTCTCACTGTCTTACTGAACTGATTAATTGCCTACTTGCCTACCCGCTTAACTAAATACTTGACTGCTTGACTGCCTGATTGCCAGCCAGCCTGCCTGACTGCCTGCTTGCCTGCTTGCTTGCTTGCCTCACTGACTACTTGTATATCTATGGAAATGTCAATTATAATTATAACAATTATATATATAACAAATTACTATACAGATAGAGATTGATAGAGATTTCTATCATATTGCAAATCTATTTAAAATTATTCTACAAAACGATTCTGAAATTTCACAGATTGAAATCATGAGTCAGTTGAAGCTAGACCACCATGGAAAACCTGGAAGCACTGGACGGCCGTTTCGTCCTAGTATGGGACTCCTCAGCAGTGCGCATCCAGTGGGGTTCAACCAGGTCTGTTGTGAGATAGGAACTCACTGAAGACAATGGTGTTCGGTGGCGCAACTTCGTGGATTGGTTGAAGTTAGACATGAACACCGTTGGATGCCGGCCGGCCGGCTCAGTGGTCTAGTGGTTAAGTGCTCGCGCGCGAAGCCAGTAGGTCCTGGGTTTGAGCCCCGCGTGGTGCGGGATCGTGGATGCGCACTGCTGAGGAGTCCCATACTAGGACGAAACGCCCGTCTAGTGCTTCCAGGTTTTCCATGCTGGTCTAGCTTCAACTGACTCATGATTTCAATCTGTGAAATTTCTAAAATCTCCACAAAACCCATTCTGATTCTGAAATTGTCTTATTCCTAATGAATCATTACAAGTAGTAGTAAGAGAGAATTGAATGGGAAATGTCAACACATTGGAATATGCCAGTTACACACATGTATGATTTGATTAGGATTGATGAGATAACATGTGAAATGACATAGAAATGTTGGTGAACTACTTGTAATAATGAGCTGTGTGTGTAAGTGTATAGGTGTAGGTGTATGGGTATGTGTATATTCACTGACTAATACAAGACAAATTATAGTTTGAACAATTGAGTTATATTGAAAGGAAAACTCGTTACTGAATATCGATAAATAGAAATAGATCATTGAGATTATATAAATATATATAGTACTGTATTGAGTCGTTCATAGTTTTGATCGAATTAGATCGACTGAGTCACTTTGTGGTCACTAGTCTGAGTGATTCGATATCCCATGCACTATATCAGCTGGTGAACCTGTAAATCTGAGTGGACTGATGCCTATCTCACAGTGCAAGCAGTAACGATATAAGTAGCAAGAAAAAAATATTACACATCGAAGATAAAGTTGGTGAGCACTCGTAACACATTTATCGACCACCTCATTAACCGATTTCCAATTTCTACCTGGTACTCTATTCCTAACCTAGACAAGCTTACTCAACTGTCTCAAAATGCATGAACATTGCTTTCAAGATACCTATGATTTAATACTAGTAACCTACGAATATCCTCTAATCTCACTGGTCATGTCTTACAAACATAAAGTAGAATGGAGCGAACGACTATGCATTAAATTCGCCCTCTGGTTCGAAGACGGATATCTCGCTTAACTTCTATACCACTGAGCCGGCATGAGGATCTTGAATACACATCATTGAGGAGTCCTGTACTAGAACGAAACGGCCGTCCAGTGCTTCCAGGTTTTCAATCCCATACTTGTACATAGTTCTAGAAAAATTGTTTTCTCTGCATCTTATGGCTAACTTTCAATCAGTGAGTATCATCAATATTACCACTATTATTGCTACTACTAACTGATATCACTATATAACGAACAAAATAGGTCATAAGAGTAGAAAACATTGGTACATCTGCAAATTTATATACTTCTGTGTATGTGTGTGTATGTGTGCGTGTTAAGGAGAACAGATAAGTAGCACAGACAATCATCTTATTTACATAAGGGTAAATGAAATATTTAGGTTATAATGATGACAAAAAAAAAAAAAATAGCCTGAAGTAACAAAAGATTAAGGGTTCATTCGAATGAACAATTTATTGCCATGTTTCTTATTTCTATTGGAATATTGACTGAAAATAAGATATAATATGAGAAGAAAATCACCCGCTGTTCAATTGAGTGTTAATTTTTAACAAATCAAATTGACAAGTAGTTACCACAAAGAGTTGGTCACCAGTATCTGTAATTCTCTGGAACAAAACACTTCCAACCTTGTCCCAACCAATCCTTTCCAGCTCTTTCCAGTTCCTATTCATCCTTTCCATATCTGCTTCTTTTGCTTGACCTAATGTGTTCTTTGGTCTTCCTCTTTTGCATTTCCCTTCACGATTCCAAGTTAGGGTTTGCCTCGTGATGCAGTTTGATGATTTGAGTAATGTGTGTCCTATCCATTTCCATCGTCTTTTCCTCATTTCCTCTTCAGCTGGAAGCTGGTTTGTTCTCTCCCACAGAAGGCTGTTGCTGATGATATCCGGCCAATGAATAATGAGTACCTTGTGTAGACAACTATTTATAAATATTTGCACCTTCTTAACGATGATTGTAGTAGTCCTCCATGTTTCAGCTCCGTACAATAGAACTGCCTGTAGCTCTTCTAGAGTTAATGCCGATCCCAAGTCCGGGTCAAGGAGTAGGGTTGGGCATGGGGTTAGCGACCCCATCTCGTAGAAGACGAACTCGCTAAAAAACACACTAGATATTCATTTATTTTCAATATTGATTTTTCATCATTCACTAGTATGGTATACAATTTGACAATGAACTAATCCTTCATCAACTATTCATAAATGAATAATTTATTCGTTGATTTTAGCATGATGGAGATAATAATGATTCCATGACCTGAAATTAATTAATTAATTTAAAATAAACATCGATCAATTGACCATGTGTATGTAGGTATGTTTACTTGTTTCTCATTCATTGACTTGTTCATTGTTTATCAATGACACAACAAAATAGAATTGAACAGATGATGAAAATCATTCAGTAACAGAATGTTGTGTTTTATGTAACAGAATCACATTATTTTTTGGTATTATTACTATTGGTCATAATAGTAATAACAATAGTAGTAGTAGTAGTAGTAGTAGTAGTAGTAGTAGTAGTAGTAGTAGTAGTAGTAGTAGTAGTAGTAGTAGTAGTAGTAGTAGTAGTAGTAGTAGTAGTAGTAGTAGTAGTAGTAGTAGTAGTAGTAGTAGTAGTAGTAGTAGTAGTAGTAGTAGTAGTAGTAGTAGTAGTAGTAGTAGTAGTAGTAGTAGTAGTAGTAGTAGTAGTAGTAGTAGTAGTAGTAGTAGTAGTAGTAGTAGTAGTAGTAGTAGTAGTAGTAGTAGTAGTAGTAGTAGTAGTAGTAGTAGTAGTAGTAGTAGTAGTAGTAGTAGTAGTAGTAGTAGTAGTAGTAGTAGTAGTAGTAGTAGTAGTAGTAGTAGTAGTAGTAGTAGTTAGTAGTAGTAGTAGTAGTAGTAGTAGTAGTAGTAGTAGTAGTAGTAGTAGTAGTAGTAGTAGTAGTAGTAGTAGTAGTAGTAGTAGTAGTAGTAGTAGTAGTAGTAGTAGTATAGTAGTAGTAGTAGTAGTAGTAGTAGTAGTAGTAGTAGTAGTAGTAGTAGTAGTAGTAGTAGTAGTAGTAGTAGTAGTAGTAGTAGTAGTAGTAGTAGTAGTAGTAGTAGTAGTAGTAGTAGTAGTAGTAGTAGTAGTAGTAGTAGTAGTAGTAGTAGTAGTAGTAGTAGTAGTAGTAGTAGTAGTAGTAGTAGTAGTAGTAGTAGTAGTAGTAGTAGTAGTAGTAGTAGTAGTAGTAGTAGTAGTAGTAGTAGTAGTAGTAGTAGTAGTAGTAGTAGTAGTAGTAGTAGTAGTAGTAGTAGTAGTAGTAGTAGTAGTAGTAGTAGTAGTAGTAGTAGTAGTAGTAGTAGTAGTAGTAGTAGTAGTAGTAGTAGTAGTAGTAGTAGTAGTAGTAGTAGTAGTAGTAGTAGTAGTAGTAGTAGTAGTAGTAGTAGTAGTAGTAGTAGTAGTAGTAGTAGTAGTAGTAGTAGTAGTAGTAGTAGTAGTAGTAGTAGTAGTAGTAGTAGTAGTAGTAGTAGTAGTAGTAGTAGTAGTAGTAGTAGTAGTAGTAGTAGTAGTAGTAGTAGTAGTAGTAGTAGTAGTAGTAGTAGTAGTAGTAGTAGTAGTAGTAGTAGTAGTAGTAGTAGTAGTAGTAGTAGTAGTAGTAGTAGTAGTAGTAGTAGTAGTAGTAGTAGTAGTAGTAGTAGTAGTAGTAGTAGTAGTAGTAGTAGTAGTAGTAGTAGTAGTAGTAGTAGTAGTAGTAGTAGTAGTAGTAGTAGTAGTAGTAGTAGTAGTAGTAGTAGTAGTAGTAGTAGTAGTAGTAGTAGTAGTAGTAGTAGTAGTAGTAGTAGTAGTAGTAGTAGTAGTAGTAGTAGTAGTAGTAGTAGTAGTAGTAGTAGTAGTAGTAGTAGTAGTAGTAGTAGTAGTAGTAGTAGTAGTAGTAGTAGTAGTAGTAGTAGTAGTAGTAGTAGTAGTAGTAGTAGTAGTAGTAGTAGTAGTAGTAGTAGTAGTAGTAGTAGTAGTAGTAGTAGTAGTAGTAGTAGTAGTAGTAGTAGTAGTAGTAGTAGTAGTAGTAGTAGTAGTAGTAGTAGTAGTAGTAGTAGTAGTAGTAGTAGTAGTAGTAGTAGTAGTAGTAGTAGTAGTAGTAGTAGTAGTAGTAGTAGTAGTAGTAGTAGTAGTAGTAGTAGTAGTAGTAGTAGTAGTAGTAGTAGTAGTAGTAGTAGTAGTAGTAGTAGTAGTAGTAGTAGTAGTAGTAGTAGTAGTAGTAGTAGTAGTAGTAGTAGTAGTAGTAGTAGTAGTAGTAGTAGTAGTAGTAGTAGTAGTAGTAGTAGTAGTAGTAGTAGTAGTAGTAGTAGTAGTAGTAGTAGTAGTAGTAGTAGTAGTAGTAGTAGTAGTAGTAGTAGTAGTAGTAGTAGTAGTAGTAGTAGTAGTAGTAGTAGTAGTAGTAGTAGTAGTAGTAGTAGTAGTAGTAGTAGTAGTAGTAGTAGTAGTAGTAGTAGTAGTAGTAGTAGTAGTAGTAGTAGTAGTAGTAGTAGTAGTAGTAGTAGTAGTAGTAGTAGTAGTAGTAGTAGTAGTAGTAGTAGTAGTAGTAGTAGTAGTAGTAGTAGTAGTAGTAGTAGTAGTAGTAGTAGTAGTAGTAGTAGTAGTAGTAGTAGTAGTAGTAGTAGTAGTAGTAGTAGTAGTAGTAGTAGTAGTAGTAGTAGTAGTAGTAGTAGTAGTAGTAGTAGTAGTAGTAGTAGTAGTAGTAGTAGTAGTAGTAGTAGTAGTAGTAGTAGTAGTAGTAGTAGTAGTAGTAGTAGTAGTAGTAGTAGTAGTAGTAGTAGTAGTAGTAGTAGTAGTAGTAGTAGTAGTAGTAGTAGTAGTAGTAGTAGTAGTAGTAGTAGTAGTAGTAGTAGTAGTAGTAGTAGTAGTAGTAGTAGTAGTAGTAGTAGTAGTAGTAGTAGTAGTAGTAGTAGTAGTAGTAGTAGTAGTAGTAGTAGTAGTAGTAGTAGTAGTAGTGGATGGTTTTCGCATTACAAATGAAAAAGCAAACATCTACTATTTCAGAAAATTAATGTTGATTTCAATAGAGTAATTGTATGACTTGTTCCAATTATCTTACGAACACAAATTAACTACCACCTTGATCATGTATCGAATATGTGCTAAACTGTGTAATGATTGGTGGTAACGCCATTCTCATACATAGAATGAAATGAGTTTATGTCATAATACAATGGTATATTGTTTGATTGTGAACTAGGAGATTATAAGTTTAAGCTTTAATCAATTCTGCTTGGTTTACGCAAACAAAAACTGTATCATAAGTTATCATGCAAAATAGTGTAACCTTAATAAAAGTAATCTGCACATACTGAATGATATATATATTGAGGTCGTGATTCAAATGATGGTAGACCACCACTGAAAGCCTGGAAGCACTGAACGGTCGGTTCGCCCAATATGTGAATCCCGCCCTCAGGATTCGAACCTAAGGCTTTCAATCTTGCGCACAAACAGTTGGCCTCTAGACCACTGAGCCGGTCAGCATCCAACGATGTTAATGTTTTATTCGGAGGCCTGCGTGCGGGATTGTGGATGTGCACTGCTAAGAAGTCCCATACTAGGACGAAATAACAGTCTAGAGTTTTCAGGGTTTCAGTGATGGTCTAACGCTTATCTGACACTATCTGACTGTGTTCACAAATTTGATCCATGAAAAGACAATAAGAAGAATTTGCATTCATTGAAATAGGTCTACTTGAAAATAGATATCCCTCAGAAATTCTTCATTAACTACGATAGATTATGAATTATGATACAGTTGTTAAGACAGAATATTTATAAATATTGACTTCAAAGATAATAGAATTAGTGGATTAACAGATTATGTAATAGATGCTTCACTATAGAATACTTATATGGTTGAATCACTAACCATTTTATCTGAAACGAATTACTACCCAAAATAAAACAGAATTGGAAAAGCCTTCTTTTCTCAGTAAATCAATCAGTTTACAGTTATGTGGCAAAGTAACTACAGTGGAAATGCGGAGAGGAGAATGTAAATTTGATGGCGCTGGACCTCAACAAGCATCATCATAAGGAATGGATCTTTATGGAAACCCTAGACAAGATAAAATAAAGGAAGAACAAGAAGACAGCAATTAAAGACAGTCGAACAACAACAAAGAAAATCAAGGCATAAGCTGAATACATAGAAGTAAACAAGCAAGTGAAGAAAAGCATTAGAGCTTACAAGCTGAAATATGTGGAAGATCTAGCATGGATAGTGGAAAAAGCTATAATAGAAAGAAATATGAAACAACTATATAACGCGATGAAGAAAATAGCTGAGAAATATGACGAACGAGAGTGACCAGTCAAGAACAAGAACGGCAAGCCAATCACTGAAATTCAATAACAAAGGAACAGATGGGTAAAACACTTTTAAGAACTTTTGAATAGTCCAGATCCATCATGAGGTGTCATAATTCATCTGAAAGAAGATCATTCAACTCTCAGGAAAGAATTTAAATTGTTTATTCTGGTTAACGTTTTCTTAACAAGATTGTTTTTTCCAGTCCCTATGCGTTTATCCGGGTTTTGGACTGTTAGTAACCTTAGAAGGGCTACAGATGGAGTTAAATGACCCGATTAGAAAGATATATTTATCGAAAGGATGCCCGGAGTGGGTTATAATTGAATTTCCAAGCTACAAAAAAGCTTATGTCTCGTGAGACCATGACATAAGACTTTGTTGTTTTTTTTAAATCTCTCTATAAACTTTAATCAAGTTTCCAGTATGTTAATTCTTACTTACTTCTGAACTTTATACAACCAGTCTATCTTCTGTTTCGAGAAAAGAATATATCTTTTATTCTTATACTATTCCAGAGTATTCATATTTTTACTTACTTACGCCTGTTACCCCCCAGTGAGGCATAGGCCGCCGACCAACATTCTCCAGCCCTTTCTGTCCTGGACCTTCCTTTCTAGTTCTATCTAGTTGTTATTCATTCTTCTTATTTCTGTCTCCATTCCATGTACTTAAATTAATGGTTCCTATGGTTGTCAGAAGGGGCATCAGCCTCGTGACTTCCGAAGGAACTCGGCTTTTATTATGAGACGTCATAACTCTTCTAAATGAAGACCTTTTAACTCCCAGGGTACAGTTTAAATAGTGTGAATTATCTTTACTGATTAGCGTTTTTAGCGAGTTAGTGTTTTACGGCATGATGTCACTAACCCCATGCCCAACTCTACTCCTTTATCCGAGCTTGAGACCGGCAGAAGCCCCAGAAGGGCTCCAGGCGGAGTTATTCATATTTTAATCTCCACATTTTAACTCAGTCTATTCTAGACATTTCCGATATAAAGTATGTATATTTGTTTTAATGATTAATACTATGGTTTTAGGTTGTAAGTAGCTGAGGAATATCCACAAAATGAATGAATTCATGTTATTCTACTACAATATATGTTCGTTCTTTATTCAAGTTTATATATAAGAAAGGTCCATAGAAAGAAATTGCTGTCAGTTCATCACTTATAGCTTTGCAATAATGCTTCAAAGAATGACATCATGTAATGAAAGTGCGAATCCCACAGAGACCACCCAATTACTTCGAGGTTGTAGATGGATTTCAGATAGCGTGAATTATGGGTCAAGTAGGGCTTTCTTTCCAATCAACTAACACATTGCATACAATGTCTAATCTCTTCTAGCAGTAGTAACATTGCAAGTTATTCATCCGAATTTGACAAGTTCTAAAGACTGTACAAATAGGGCATTGATTACTAGCCAATTATCTATCTATATTCGATATCTGTTATAAATTGTCATGATTAGAAAGGTTTACATATTATGATTAATACATAACTAATCTTATTTAAGTTTAGGTCATTATTGTCTTGCCTTATTAATATCTATCTTTAAATGACCTTACAGATTACTCATAATCATTATCACTTCCTTTATCAGTTTCGGACTATTTAAACAACTGATAAGAACTGAGAAAATAGAATCAATTTATATGACTGACTTGAAAAGTTAAACTTCTTTTAGATCTAATATATCCTCTCTTTTTCTTCCCAATATATCAAGACATCTTAGAGGATATAGCAGACGAGTAGAAAAGCTAAGGAGAAACAAAATACTCGTATTATACAGGTTTTCACAATGAATCATTCATTCTTGGAACCTATTATCTGAAGTATTAGTGTCCACACCTTTAATTGACTCATTCAAGAGAAGACTAGACAATCACAGAAGCATATTAGAAAAGGAATAATATGGGCCATAGGCCTTTTGTCCTTATTATTTTAATAATTGAATTCACGAGTTGATATAAGCTAAACCACCCTTAAAAAACTGGAAGCACCGAACGGATGCTGAAGAGTCCTATGATGGGATGAAACGGCCGTACAGTGCCTACAGGCTTTCAGTCGTGATCTAGCTTACACCAACAATTAAAATTACTACAAACCTTATTCTGATAATAATCACCATGTGGTCACTAGTGACTGATTTCAAGATGATTTCATGGAGTTGTAGTATGAAGCCGTGATCACTGGAGTCCAATACGTGTCTAGTAGAGACAAGTATCTACCTCGGACATTGGACGAATGGTTGCTCAAGATCATAGATCAACTAAAGTTAGACATGAACACTGTTGGATGCCGGCTCAGTGGTCTAGTGTTTAAGCGTTCATGTGCAAGACCAAAGGTGCTGGGTTCGAGTCCTATGCGAAGAATCGTAGATGCTCACTATTGAGGGGTCCCATACTATGACCATCATGTGATTCCAGGTTTTCAGGGGTGGTCTAGCTTCTAGTCAACTCATGAATTCAACTATTAAAATTACTATAATTTTCACACATACACACACCCATCTTGATAAGAGTCCAAATTTATCTCATGATAACCATCATCATATTTTCTCATTCTTCATTTTTATCGCTTAATTATAATCAACAATATGAATGACATCTTACATACTTACTTACTTACGCCTGTTACTCCCAATGGAGCATAGGCCGCTGACCAGCATTCTCCAACCCACTCTGTCCTGGGCCTTCTTTTCTAGTTCCATCCAATTCTTGTTCCATTTTCTCATGTCTATCTCCATTTCCCGGCGTACTGTGTTCTTTGGTCTTCCTCTTTTCCTTTGGCCTTGAGGATTCCAGATGAGGGCTTGTCTTGTGACGCAGTTGGTTACTTTCCTCAATGTGTGTCCTATCCACTTCCAGCGCTTCTTCCTGATTTCTTCCTCCATTGGGATCTGGTTTGTTCTTTCCCATAGTAAGTTGTTGCTAATAGTGTCTGGGTAAACGGATTCGAAGTATTTTGTGTAGACAACTGTTAATAAACACCTGTATTTTCTAGATGATGGCTTTCGTAGTTCTCCAGGTTTCTGCCCCATACACTAGAACTGTCTTCACATTTGTATTGAAAATCCTGACCTTGGTGTTGGTTGACAGTTGTTTTGAGTTCCAGATGTTCTTCAGTTGTAATTATGCTGCTCTTGCTTTGCCGATCCGCGCCTTCACATCTGCATCAGATCCACCCTGTTCATCAATGATGCTGCCCAAATACGTAAAGGTTTTTACATCTTCCAAATCTTCTCCGTCAATTGTGATTGGATTGGTGCATGCTGTGTTGTATCGGAGAACCTTGCTTTTCCCTTTGTGTATATTGAGACCTATTGCTGCTGAGGCTGCTGCCACACTGTTCGTCTTCTCCTGCATCTGTTGTTGCGGTTGGGATAGAAGGGCCAGATCATCTGCGAAGTCTAGATCGTCCAACTGCATCTTAGATGTCCATTGTATCCCGCGCTTCCCTTCAGACGTTGACATCTTCATGATCCAGTCGATCACCAGGAGAAAGAGAAAGGGTGAGAGTAAGCAACCTTGCCTGACACCGGTCTTCACTTCGAACGACTTTGTCAACTGTCCTCCATGCACAATTTTGCAGTGTAATCCATTATATGAACTCTGTATGATATTGACTATCTTCTATGAATGACATCACTA